ATATATATATATATATATATATATATATATATATATATATATATATAGGCAAAGTATAGATTTAATTTTTTGTTGTTTTAAAAGCCTGTTGAAGTTCCAGGCAGGAAGAGCACTAAGACACTGGCCCATGAAATACAGCACAGAGGTGGTTGTCTAGTCCGCGTACATGCAAGCTTTTCAGGACTAGGTTGAGCCTGGGCACACTGGTACAAGCCTGTAATGCCAGTACCTGAGCTGAGGTAGAAGAATTGCCATGAATTCAAGGCCTGCTTTAACTAGAGAGAAAGACCCCATCTGGAAAAAAAGAAAGAGGCTGTAGTTCATTTGGTAGTGTATGCCTGGCATGCGGAAAGACCTAGATTTGACCCCTAGAACCTAATAAACTATCATGCTAGCACATGCATGTAATTCCAGCACTTGAGGTAAGTTTACGAGTTGAAGGTAAGCCTCAGCTCCATGGTGTTTGAGGTCAGCCAGAGCTGCATGACTGTTGTTTAAGGAGACCTGGACTAGGGTTAGAGAGATGGCTCAGTGGTTAAGGGCACTGACTGCTCTTCCAGAGGACCCACGTTCAAATCCAGCAGCCACATGACAGCTCACAGCTGTTTGTACTCCAAGATCTGACACCCTCAAATAGATGTCCATGCAGGCAAAACACCAATGCAACATAAAAGATTTTTTTAAAAAAGGAAAAACTGAAAAACCTAGGCTGAAGTTACAGCTCAGCAGTTAATAGCATTGGCTGCTCTTCCAGAGGACCTGGGCTCAATTCCCAGCATCCACATGACAACTGAGAACCATTCCCCAGACTTCTGATGCCCTCTCTGGCTTCCTTGGGGATCCAGGTACCCAAGTGGTACACAGACACAAACTCCCACTAAACACCCATACACATTTAAAAAAACATACTAAAACCAGACATGGAGGGGGAATGGCTTCGAAGATGGCTTGTCGGGTAAGAGCACTGGGTGCTCTTCTGGAGAACCTAGGTTTGATTTTCCAGCATCCACATGGTAGTTCACAACCATCTAGCTTCAATCCCGGGGATATGACATGGTCTTCTGGCCTCCAGAGGTACTAAGCACACATACATGCAGGCAAAGCGGCCATACACATAAACCAGATATGGTGGCACACACCTGTAATCCTAGCTCTTAGGAGTTAGAGGCAGGAGGATTTCTACAAGGATGAGGTCATCCTGGGCAGTGTAACAAGCACCAGGCCGGCTAGAACTACATAGCCAAACTCGAAAACAAGCCAGTGTGATGCTGTATACCTTTCGTGCCAGCACTTGGAAAGCAAAGGCAGGTAGATCTCTTTGAGGCCAGCCTACTACTTACTTTACTACAGGTCGCTCCAGAGCAGCCAGAACTAATAATGAGACTCTGTCAAAAAAAAAAAAAAAAAAGTTAACTATCTCAAACATATGGCATTTGATACAGGGAATTATTTCTGCAGGGGAAAAAAAAAGAAACATAGTGAAAAGCCAGAGGGGAGGGAGAGCCTGTGTACGTGTGTGTGGATGTGTGTCATCCTGGTACTCCTATAGCAAGATGGGAGGTAGAGACAGGAGAATTCCAGGAGTTCGAGGACCACAGTGCACTGACAAATGAGACTACTCAAGCAAGTTGGAAGATGATGCAGGCTGTCCTCTCTCTTGACTGCCACTCAGGTCAAGGCACATACATGCCTTATTCACACCTACAAATAGCATACTAAATGCACACAGGTTTCTTTTAGAATTCCTAATTGTGTGTGTGTGTGTGTGGTGGGTGTATTTGTATATGTCCAGGTGCCCGCAGAGGACCACTTTTTCAGATTCCCCGAAGCTGGAGTTACAGATGATTGGGAGTGCTCAGCATGGGTGCTGGGAATGGAATCTGGGCTCTCTGCCAGAGCCAGAAGCTCTTTTGTTTTTTGGGTTTTTTTTTTTTTGTTTTGTTTTGTTTTGTTTTTCGAAACAGGGTTTCTCTGTGTAGCCTTGGCTATCCTGAACTCACTTTGTAGACCAAGCGGGGCCTCAAACTCACAGAGATCCGTCTAGTGCTGGGACTAAAGGCATGCACCACCATGCTCCACTAACTAACAAGAAGCTCTTAATTACTGAGCCATCTCTCCAGACCCTTCTTTATAATTTTTGTGAAATAAATCTTTAAGGGAATTAGAGAGATGGCTCAGCAATTAAGAGCATTCGCTGCTCTTGCAGAGGACAGAAGTTCATTTCCCAGCACCCGTATCAGGCAGCTCACAACTGTATGTAACTTCAGAACTCTCTGACCTCCCTGGGCACCCATACCCACATGGCACACACTCAATACAGATATATACATACAAAGTTTTAAAACATCTTTTTTTTTTTTTTTTTCTCGAGACAAGATTTCTCTGTGTAGCCCTGGTGGTCCTGGACTTGAGCAGACCAGACTGGCCTCAAACTCAGAGAGATGCACCTGTCTCTGCCTCCTGAGTGCTGGGGTTACAGGCGTGCGCCACCTTTACGTTTTTATTTTCTTATATGAGTGGAGTGGGATGCATGCTTCCCTGTGCCGTGACAGTCATGTGGAGGTCAGAAGACAACTTGCGGGAGAGGCCCAACTCCAGTTGTCAAGACGCGGTGGCCTGCACCGTTCCCTGCTTAGCTGTCCCACCAATCCCCTTCATGCTTTTTATGACGCCTTAGCAGTCACTGCCATCACTTCCATCCGTGGCTATAGGTCACAAGCTGTAATCGTCGTTTTTGTTATTGCTGCAACCAAATGTTTGCTGTCTTAGTTTGGGTTACTAATGCTATGGTGAAACACATCAACCACTAATTAAGAAAATGCTTGGGCTGGAGAGATGGCTCAGTGGTTAAGGGCACTGGCTGCTCTTCCAGAGGATCCAGATTCGAGTTCCAGCACCCACACGGCACCTCACAACTGTCCGAAACTCCAGTTCCAAGAGATCCCACACCCTCACAGAGACATAAAGGCAGGCAAAACACTAATGCACAAGAAATAAAAATAAATAGACAGATACACAGATAAGGAGGGGAGAAATACTCTACAGGCTTGCCTACAACCCAATCTTATGGAGGCATTTTCTCAGTTTGGGTTCCCTCCTCTCAGATGACTCTAAGCTCTGTCGAGTCAACATAAAATTAGTGAGCACACTGGCAAAATCACCCTAAGTGAGGAATGATTGCTTCTAACTGCTGGTTTTCTGGTGGGGAAGGCATGGTGGGACCTGCATATTCCAGCTGTGAAGTATGGTAGGCAGAGGAAGGAAGCTGAGTAGTTCAAGGTCGCCTTCTGCTACACATGGCACCCCATGCCAGTGGGGAGAAAATACCGGGATGCATCTAAGTGGTAGAGTGGGCACCAAGCACAGAGGAACTCTTGGATTCGATCCCTGGGACCCCCTGAAATGGTCACAGTGACTAAAGCCTGTAGTGCTGATGTAGGTGGAGGTGAAGGATCAGGAGTTCAAGGTCATCCTTAGCTACATAGTTTGAGGCCAGCCTGGGTTTCATGAGACTCTATTTTTAAAACTTACATGAAGCACGGGCGGAGGGGTGCTGTACAAGGGCCAGAAAATACTACATAAAGCTGGGTAGTGGTAGCACACACCTTTGATCCCAGCAATCAGGATGCAGAGGCAGGCAGATCTCTAAGTTCAAGGCCAGCCTGGTCTGCAGAGCAAGTTCCAGGATAGTCAGGACTACACAGAGAAACCTGTCTCAAAAAACAAAACAACAACCAAAAAGAATACATGAAGCAAAAATTGATAGAAATAAGAAAGAAAATAGAGTCAAGTGGCTAAAAAAAAAAAAAAAAAAAAAAAAAACTAGAAGGGAAAAAAAGGAATAAATGTGGAGATGTGGAGACAGAAGCAGGCAGATATCTGTGAGGCCAACTGAGGCTATAGAGTAAGATCTAGGGGGGGGCGTAGAATAGAATATCTGACTATCTTCCTGGTGGAGGAGTCGTCTGGAAACGCACAGAAATGGCACCTTGCATGGGGAAGGACAGAGTCATTAGTCTTGGACCTCAAGTGACTAAAGGAGAGAATGTATTTGGTGTCTGCCACATCCTTGGATCCTTCAGTGATTTCATTTGTCCACCTAACCAATCTTTGTGGCAAGGAAACCATCTGCTGAGAGTCTGGTGGAATGAGGAAAGAGGTTGACGGAGATGAGTCCTCTCCATACGTAGCCATGCTGGCTGCCAGAGACGTGGCCCAAGGTGCAAGGAACTGGGCATCAGTCACTGCCCTGCAAATCAACCTCTGGGCCATGGAGGAAACAGGACCAAAGATCCCTGGACCTGAAGCCGAGTCAGCCCTCAGACGTCTTGCTCCCTCAGGGACAAAGAATGGGCAGATTGA